TTACACGTACCCCACTGTATCAATAATACTATAACTATTAAATAAATCGAATATTTATAACTTTAGCAAATCGACAGCAGTTAAGGAAACGAGACGCGTTCCAGGATACGTCGACGCGTCCATGGAGCCTGATCCGGCCGGCATGAGAACCCAGCTCAAAACCATGATGTTGTTGACCATCCTCGTTGTTGACTCGCCTCCCGCAGCTCTGTAGTCTGTAGCCTGTGGTCTTGAACCAAGGAACTCTCTCCGAAACTTCCATCTACTTGCGCTCATCTCGTCCCTCAAAATCAGCTCACTAGACCTGGAACTTGGGTGGATTGAAGTTGAATCTATGGCTCCTTTATTTGAAACGATAAAGGTAAGCTGTAATTTCTTTTCTAATTGCCATTCGATCATTTACACAGCACGCTCACTCTGGTTTCCTTTTCGCCTCAATTCTTCCCTTGCCTTGCCGTTCTCCAATGTAGTCATTCAACGACGTCCCAATTACCTCTGATGGGGTAGAAACTGCAAGCTTTCTAGAGGCTATGGATGGAGTTCTTACGATGTTTGGTTCTCTCAATCTTCTTAGAAGCCCGTCGTCCCTTTCACTGACTTGTATGGTCTAGATCTGTTCGGCTCAACAGTCTTTGGATTCGTCCAGTCGGATATAAGGGGCAATATCAGTGTGAGTACCCTCATGTTTGACTTGTGTCCTGCGTATTTTCCACGTCGGCTCGACCAAGATGCAATGTATAATTATGCCTTTATTTTACACCTCTAGGGCGTCCGAGCGCGCTATCAACAGGCCCGTACGGACTCCGAAACGTTGGAAGCCCTTGTTCAATGCGAAGCTACTGCTGGAGATAAACATAAACACGGAACAGCGTGTTTGGTTCGTCTTTTCCGGTACGTTTCGATAGTTTTAGCCATTATTCCCTTCCGACTTCCCCTCCTATTCTCACCTCACCTTCACGTAGCGGTCTCGCATTCATACAACATTCTCTTCAACATATGCAAAACCACCCTAACGAAGAACTGCATGTGTGCTTTAGGAACGCATACGAAGTGACGCTGAAGCACCATCATGCTTGGGTTGTTCGACAGGTTCTACATGTAAGTATTAAGGCTGCATTTCTCTATATTTTCTGTCGGGAGACGGTATAGTTTCTTTCGCCACCAAGTCCTAGCTCGATGCTTCTCCGACATTCATTTCCCTTCCTCCGCTTGTCTTCTTTTTCTTCTTGGTCATCAGGTCTCGAATACATTTCAGACTTGCTAACATTTTCTTCGATCCTAGGTGGCCTTCCGTGCTGTCCCTCATCGCCGCGACTTTTATGGTACCATCTCCTCTGGGGCATCTCCAGAAAAGTTCGATCCCGAGTTTGGAAAATGGTTGGACGCGCTTGAAAAGATTGTGAAGAGGATGAAGGGATTTTTAGAGGGCGGAGGGTATGGAAAAGTTTGAAGAAGTATATATTTCTATCCGTACGGGCAAAGTACAGGGAGAGGGCGAGAGCGTATGGGTAAGATATCTACTGAATCTGGACACTTTTGGCTACACAGACGAAAGGATGAACGATAGAAGAATTATAACGAGAATAATCATATAGGGAAACAGGTATAGTGCCCCGGATATGGTAATCCGGGCGAGGCTCCATCACTCAAAGTGACTACAGTGTGTACCGCTTTGACCATTATTAACAGAACATCCTGTAGGTAAATTATCAATACGCGTCCTGGGCTCAAGTGCTGATGGACGAGAACGTTTCTGTTCTTTCCTCTATGGCTCTCGTCAAGAAGCGTCCCCGGCCGTTGGCCAAGTGGGGTCATCATTATTGACATCCTCTATTTGAATGGACTTTTCATGATGAGCAATATGGTTTTGTCCATGGAAGCAGCCAAACTTTTTGATAACGCGCTGGAGGTAGTGCCAACGAAAGAGGCCTGTAGGCGGGTTGAGAGTAGGATTGGGAGGAGATACTGAGTACCCATGCAACACAAGAATCCCAAAGTTGGGTACGCGGCTACTCCAATGCCAACATGGTCAAGGCATCACTAGTAAAGTCATGGGCCTCATAACTCTGTTCAGTCAAAATGAGCACAAAACAAAGAGTTGAAAGGCAAAACCCACATACACCATCGGTTTGTTTGAGCCCAATCTTGTATAAGGCAAACTTGGCGTCCAAGGTTGAGATTAACGATATACCAAAAAGAGGATCAAAGATGGTGAGGTGGTAAATTCCGTCACCCATCCGCTTCGGGCTAAACCCCTTGAGATCCAACAACGGCATCTTGTGCGCTTACATTAGCTCCCATTGTTCCAGCGACACCCGCAGCATTTTTTTTCTGACTTGTTGTGGCGAAGGCTAATTTTGGTGAGTCGAACAGGAACGGGAACACGATACTCATACACCAACGCCCGAAGAGGATCCCCCGCGTCAACAGGACTGACCTAGCCATCGGAGTCTCAGACTCAGAGAGATCCACGAGATGTCCAGGTTTTTGACGTGGGCGACGTCGATAAGCCATTGAGAATTGTCCGCGCGTGCAAGGCGTTGGAATTCAACTAGTTCACCTTCCAGCAGATATTGGTATTCCTGGGCATCATCAGAAGGGGAGAAGTAGCACATGCCTGGAGAACATCGGCAGACTGCACAGACTGGGTGTAGCGTAAAACGCTGTCGTTCCGGACGCTAAGGTGCGAAAGGGGGTGGTGGCTGCTTCTGATTTTTCTCCTTATGCGGTGGTTTGCGAGATGGCCCTTCTCCTTTCCGCCAGAATACCCAGAAGACCCTGCTCGCGATCTTGTTCTGGGAGACATGATGAGGAGACTGCGCGCTTGATTTGGGGCTTATTTTTCTGCGGGCGGAGCTTGTAGAGAAATAATAATAATAATATAGATTAGAATTTAGTACTACAGTAGTGGTACAAGTAAGCTTACAGTATATTCAATTCGTATAGAAACTAGATTGACCAAGCAAAACATGCAAAACCAACACCAGCCCAATCATGTTCAACACCCGTCCGGCCATCTTTCCTGCAAGATTTGTTAGGCTCTGCGTGAACATTTCAGGATCGACGTTTTCGAACGATAAGCGTCGATTAGGTGAGAAAATAGGAAACGGCGACGGCTCCCGAGGTTCTGACAGTGGTTCAAAGGAGAAATATGAACGTTCTGAACTTGCTGAGGCGGGAGATTCGTCTTCCCATCGTGAAGAAGAATCCCATTGGAGGGAACTCGAGCTCGGAGGCCATTCCGGGCCTGGGTCTGAAGTTGGGGTAAGTGATATAGGAAATAGTGCATGGAGAGGAGAAGAAGGAGGAGCAAAAGGGATTGGAGGGAGAATATGGTGTGCAGTTGGTGACACTGGGGATGCGAGCGATATTATTCCGGTTTTCGGATGGCAAGGTTCTGTGCAGCTTGGACAGAGGTTTGAAGATCCACTGAGCCACTGCAAGAGAGGGGTCAGTCAGTTTGAGAACGATAGGTAGAAAAACGCGTACATCGGACAAGTGGTCCTCACAGAAGATGTTTCGGCAGCATTTCGTTCGGGAAGGTCGGACGGCAAGGTCAAAGCTGCATACAACAATGAAAGAAAGAATTTAGAACGCAAACGTCGGAAAGACGAACATCCATACCAAATACCACAATCCCGGTCAGAATTAATCGATGTTTGAATTTTGAGCCTCCCTTTCTGTTTCTGTCGTGGCACCAACTTCAACTTTGATTGAGTGGAATCTTGCGAAAGAACAGCATGTTCCTCTGCTGCACCTGGCAGCGAAGAAACTCCCGATGTGCCCGACTGAGGAGTAGATTCTACACTTGACTCTGTCCCAGCATTAACACGGAGTTGAACCTCATCATGCTCTGAGTCTTCAGAGATGCTTGCTAGATGTGACTGGATTGGTAAAGACCTAGTACGTGAGGGGCGCCGCCGAATGGAGAGTGGAAACGACGCCGTATGCGTAGGAGAGGAGAGCATGATTGTTTATGGCAAGGATGGCTGGGAGACAATAACTTTGGAAATTAAGGCATGAAAACAAGAGACTCGGGCATACTGGCCATCGATACGCAAAAGACAATAATGAGCGTTTGAAAAGAAAGACGGATCCAGCCGGGACTTAAGTACGGTGAGACAAGCGCCATGGTGTTGGTTTCAGCTAGAGAAGATGAAGAAGATGAGGGTCATTATTCGACCCCAATGCCGATTTTGGCAAGGTGATTGCTTGAGGACAGGATGACCGTAGAACGCAAGGTAAGCGCTGGGCCGTGACGCGGTCGCGGCAAACTTCAAAGAGACCCGGCCGAGGCGCTTCGTATTACCATTTCTTCGAGTTCCTATATCTTGCCTTCTATCTTCCAACGAACCGAGTCCAAATTCCCTTACTCCAAGACTTTGTACCATTTGGCACATCGCTTCCCTCGATCATACACTCTCAGCCTTGGACTAGCCAGCCAACGAAGGAACGATTGGAAGAAAAGAAGGAAACCCCACTGAACCAGCTTCATCCCCGAACTTCGAATAAACCTCATGGCTCTTGGAAAGCTATTCCACTACGCGCTCGATGCAGCGTTATTATCCACTGTTCTCGCTGGTGTAAAGAAGAGTTCTGGCTTTAGGTAGGTGTTATATTGCCTCTTGACTTGAAATCTACCAACTATATCTACCGTATCTCCAGCCCTGACCTAGCCCAAATCTCCAATCCAACCGCCCGTTCTCTTGCAGAGACATACCTAGGCTTTGGAGAGTCAGTTTTCGGGATTGTACAAGGGAGTGTCGTTAACAGTGCGTATTTTACGCATGGAAATGGAAGTGCGGGAAGATAGGATACCTTAGATGGGATTAATGCCGGAACTCGAAGTATTTGAGGGTTGGAAAAAACGCGTGTATTTATTTTCTTTCTTATTGTACTATCTCTCTCTCCACTCTCCCACTCTCCCTCTGGCTCGGAATTAATCAACTCTGGCTTTTTGAAGTCCGAAACTTATCTCAAATCCTTTGCACTTTACGCATGGCCGACTAGCTCAGCTGGTTAGAGCGTCGTGCTAATATGACTGCATGTAACGCGAAGGTCTTGGGTTCGATCCCCACGTTGGCCAATGTAGTACTTCATGACTTTGATGTCTTTTTATCTTTATGTACTCTAGTGACATCAAACATCTTGAACTTTAACGATTATTTTGCCCCTTGCGCTACGATTTATCATCCTATCGTAAGCCTAACTCACGAACGTGTTAGAATCATCTCTGGCTGCGATAAAATGAACAACTTACTCGCAAAACATCCTCAAACTCCACCACCTCATCGACAATGACTCTTAGCTGACCCTCCTCTGTCATGCGCGCAAGTTGTGCAGCCTTTACACCATCTGGCGTTGTACTGATCATCGAATATCTTCTCGGTATCCCTCCAAGGAGAACCGGACGCCAAGTGTTGAGCAAAGCTCGAAAAACGGTCAACGTAGCTCCTTCAAAGTTTCCAACATTGATCAAGGCTCCTTGCGGTTTTAGGTAGTGCGGAGAGTAGGTGAAAAGATCCTGGACACCGATAGTGTCGAAAATGAAATCGAATGGACGTTTGTGGTATTCTTTTGCGAGGTAGACAGGCAGAGGGTGGTTTGCGCGGTAGTCAATAACCTGCAAGCCGGTCAGTCAGGAAAGGGCTACAATTAAGGATGCACTTACTTCGTCGGCTCCCAAGCTTTTCACCAAGTCAATATTCCGCCCAGAGCATGTAGCGATCACATATGCGCCTCGAGCTTTCGCTATTTGAATCACCATCGTACCAACACCCCCACTACCACCATTCACAAGGAGTCGATCTCCTGCTTCATATCCACGTCCAAAAACATATTCCAAGCCGTCTGACCTGCTCCCCCCAATCCCGACGCTTCCACAAACCCCATACTGGGTGGTATAACCGCGACACTTGACGCGGAAACAACGATATATTCTGCTAAAGCGCCTGCGCCTGCAATAAGCTGCATCATTGGAAAGTTACCAAACACGCGTGTTCCCGCACAGAGTCCCGTAGGAGCGGAAGGCCCTGCGAGATGGACGACGCCTGAAAATTCTGCTTCTGCTATGGCGGTGGTGTTTCCTCCCAGGAGACGACGAACAAGAGGGGGGATGTTGGCCATGGTGATGTAGCAGCCTGGGTTGAGGGCGACATGAGATATACGAATGAGTAAGTTGTCTTTGGCTGGTGGGTCTGGAACTGGGAAGGAGCGATCGAATGAGAGAACATCGCGAGGTAAGCCTCGAGAAGAGAAGACCCATGCACGCATGGTTTTTGGGAGTGTAGAGGACGACATCTAGAATTAGAGCTTTGGGGGAATTGTGAGGCATCTTACTGGACGTCGAGGTAACCATATTGTCTGAGTTGCACTGCTGCATCATTGAGCCAACAGACATTCTGAAACCAGTACTGGGCGGTAGATCGGCGTAGCACATCATACTACGCATATATCTAGATTTCAGGTGCTACCGAGGCAACAGCAACAGGCCAGTCGGGTTGTTTAAATTGTCGGTCTGTCGAGTATCTAGGGACCATCTTACAAAATCGATTTTCATTTTGTCAGATATCAAGGCAATGCCACCTAGCAAGGGACCATCAAGTCGGAGGCGCAGAATCCTTTTTTTTCACGAAGATGAACGGCTAAACGGATGATGTATGTATCAATTAATGCTTAACTACTACAAGTTATTTAGCGTACATTTAACATTACTTCCGCCGCGTGAAGGTCAACTTCGCGGTGGGACTAGGAGTTGTAAAAAGATTAAAAGCGAATGACTTTGGTCTTTCAGCCTTTCCAGATGGACAGGACAGATCGTAATTGAGGATAATCTCTGCCAATATGACTTTGATCTTGAGGGCAGCACTAGCAGATGTTCAATACATACGCATCATGACAAAGGATAAAAACACTCACAAAAAGCGACCGGGACAAGCATGTTTCCTAAGCGGAAACCTGGATCAGCTCCTTGTGCGGAAGCAATAAATATAGAAACTCACCCTACTCCGAACAGCAGGTAGTCATTGCTGAGCGCTGTAAATGCATGCTTACCATCGATACCTCCAGTACCCCGCAGCTTTGAGAACCGGAAAGGATCGAAGATTTCTGGTTGATCATATATTTCCGGATTATAGTGGGTGGCTTTGGGCGCAATCGCTACAACGGTCCCTTTTGGTATCACAGAGCCATCAGCAATCACAGCGTCGCTGAGAGTGAGTCTTGACATTCCGACTATGGAAAATTAGCAACAAGTATACAGAGTTTATGCCAAGACTTACTAGCGAAGAGAGGATGCCAGCGGCCGATTTCTTTGAGCAAGGAATCCAAAATATGGAATCTTCCGACAGCAGCCTTGTTGCATACACCTCCCTCTGATTCAATGGCGGTAGTAATTTCATCCCGCAACATGTCAAGCTGCTCTGGAGTGAATAAAGCCAACTCAAACAGTGCATGAGTAATAAAGATTGCTCTGGGTTGATCTTTGCGTTAGTTGACATGTTAGAATACCGGGGAGAAATACGGACGTGGTGTGTATCGAGGCCATGTTTAAATGCGCAACTCGAACGGCAACTTTTTCGGGAATCATGATGTCTTCCTCCGGCGTGAATCTCATTAGGATATCAGTGATCGTTTGCGGGTTATCCTGAAACTTCCGTAAGGTCCTCGGTGATGTGGATAGTAAAGGAGACTAACCTGTTGTGCGTACTCGATACGCGATTTCACGTAGGGAGTCAACAAAGGTACTACCGTCTTGGTACCGCCGAAAACCAATGAGCTCAATCTGAACACAAGCCTATGCTATGATATGAAAGGATTGTTCTGGATGAGGAAAGTAGAGCACTTACGGTCTCAAAAATTGCGGGAAATAATTCAGTACTTGTGATAAACCTATCACGGTGGTGGCTAAATTGACCTGCTCGTGGAGGAATCTTTTGTCGCGACAACCGGGTACACCAATCATGACACGATTGCTGACGCGAGCTACGATATTCACCATGGTATTAAAGAGCGGAAGGGTAACAGAATCTGGCAAGAAGCTCAACACCATTCTGTCCGAAGACACTGCAATGTACTGACCAGATCCTTTGCTATCGAATGCTTCTGGCAAAGCCAACTGAGCTTCCTCGAGGATATCTGGAGTGAGCGATGTAAGGGCTTTGGTCAAATCCGAGCGCAGAATCGTTTCTAGATGGTATGGGTTGGTTGTTATATCCCCAAATTGAAGGTTGATTTGGAACAACTGCATTGGGCAATATGGTGAGCTGGATTAATTTCAAACGAGTCTGAGATACGCACCTGCTTTGCCCGTTCAGGACCATTGAACTATAAAGCATCTCAGTCGCAAAATAGGATTCAACGAGTCTAAAGCCACTAACCGCCGAGTCGTCTGACTTGCGAAGCAACTCTACATTGTCCGGGCCTAAAACGACCAGCTCACCACCCAAAGTAGGAAGAATAAAGGGTTTTCCACCAAACTGCTTGCATCCGTCCTCAACGACAGAGTCGCAGTCAAAGACAGAACGAATGACCGCCCATAGGTAACCAAACGGCCCAGATTTGCCTACACGAGGAAACTGCCTTTGACGTCGAGTCAAAGAACCAATAGTTACAGCGAGCAAGGCGATGGCTGCGAGAAGAGTTTGGGAGTGCATTTCTAGGGTGATTTTAGGCTGTAGATTAACTTGGAATGTTTTTGTCTTCCCCCTGCGCAGGATTCAGCCAGGTTGGTTCATCTTTGATGGACAAAGATTGAAGTTTCGGAAGTCGTGAGGTTGCCAGATCTGCAGTGATTTTTACCACATTGACATCGAAGGATGGAGACAAAATCACTATAGATACTAGGATCTTTGTATTATTGTAATCTGACTGAAAGTTGAAGTAGGTGAGTCGGCGCTTAAATGACGCACACCACGCTCCTCAAGCTCAGCCAAGTTTCAAAAGCGCGCGCGCTGCTTCTGTCATGGTTTCTGAGATTACAGCCATCAACATTGATAATGGAACTCAGTCCATTGCGCCGCAAGTCAAAAGGGAGGAGAGGTTTCCGTGTGTCAATGTGCTTCATTATACCTCACCGAGACTAGAATGGGATGCAGATCGGTTTCCAAGCTTCAACTCAAAATAACACGAGAATATTGTCGCGAGGTTAGTGAACGGTTTCCGAGATACTGACACAGTGAATCAATGGTTTACGCCCGACGAAACATGAATCAAAAGATGTGTCTCCTAACAAATGCACAGCGACGATACCTCGAGCCCGATTCCTAACTAAGGAGATATATAAAAGTACTGCAATGGCACAGAGAAGGTATTATTCTTTTCTTTTTTTTCATCTCTCGTAGCATTTGCTGGGCACAATGCTGGATTACATTCCTTTTAATTTCCCTTATCACTTTCTTTTGTTTCTTTCTTTAGCTCTCTTCTCGCTTTTATCTCTCACCATCGTTTTCGTCTTCTTTGTTACAAATATCAAGGCCAATCGTGAGCATGGTATCGTACCAAAATCATTACCTTGGGTCGGCAGACAGCAAGGTCAGCTATTTTCTGCCATTCGGTCGAACTTCAGGGGATTGGTGAACTCTGTAACCCTTTTCAGAGAGGGTTACACCAAGGTCAGCAATTTAACTGCTCTCAAATTTCGATATTTCCTCTGATGCTTCAACAATCCTTCAGCATTCGAAGAAAGATCAGATCTATGTTGTACCGACCTGGACGAAGGGCCCTCAGGTTATCATACCGCCCAAGATGAATAATTGGCTTGCAAGTCGACCAGATGCCATGCTTAATGCCAAAGACTGTACCTTTGAAACTGGTACGTTCGCCGCGTATTTTATTAATAACAACGACTCACGTTGAACCTTAGCTCAATTCGCCTATACTGTCGGACACCCCGAGATCACATCCAACGACATGATAGATATTTTGATCAAAAGAGAGCTCACCCGCACCATAGGCACCCTGAATACTGAGATCTTTGAGGAAGTTGAAGCTTCCATGGAGGGTCTTTTCGGCGATGGCGAATGGAAACAAGTCGGTGTGTTTGATAGCCTGACTAGGACTGTAGGAAGAGCCGCAAACCGAGTATTT